CTTTTCTTTTGCCTTGAATACTTTTCCCTTCCATCTGTAACTTTTGGGTGAGGTTGGGATTAATTTTAATTTTTTTCACATGCTAGCTTATTGCCCCTCTTAACTCTTCTCCACTGATTTGAAATGCCATTTTATCATATATTAATTATATATGTGTGCTTATATAAATTTATCAACTGTCTTCCATTGGTTTGCTTCTTGCACATGTACCTTACTGTTACTGTGTGTTAATTATTGTACCTTTATACCAGGCATCAGCAAACTATAGCCCAAGGGCCAAATTTGGTCTACTACCTAGTTTGTATTAAGTTTCATTGGAACACACCAAACTCATTTGTTAACATATTGTTGATGGCTGCTTTTGAGCTATGATGGCAAAGTAGTTGCAACAGAGATGTATGGCCCACAAAGCCTAAAATAGTTAGAATCCAGTCCTCCAGAGAGTGTACCCACCTTGGCTTTGTACTGTGCATTGATATCTGGTAGGGCAGGTTCTTCCTCATTCTTCTTCAAACAATTTCTTGGTAAGTCTAACATGCTTGTTCCTTCAAATGAACTTTATAATTAATTGGCCTGACTCCTTTCCTTTACCCTACCTTGTTTATTTTTTTGTGAGTGGGGATCTGGGAGGCAGGGAGAATAGGAATTTGATTGTATATATATGTATGTATGTATTTATCTATCTATCCATTTATTTATTTATTATTAAGGTATCATTGATATACACTCTTTTAAAGGTTTCACAAGAAAAACAATGTGGTTATTACATTCACCATTATTATCGAGTCCCCCCTATACCCCATTGCAGTCACTGTCCATCAGTGTAGTAAGTTGCCACAGAGTCACTATTTGCCTTCTCTGTGCTACACCGTCTTCCCCATGATCCCCCCCACACCATGTGTGCCAATTATAATACCCCTCAATCCCCTTCTCCCTCCCTCCCCACCCACCCTCTTCCACCCCTCCCCTTTGGTAACCACTAGTCCCTTCTTGGAGTCTGTGAGTCTGCTGCTATTTTGTTCCTTCAGTTTTGCTTCGTTGTTATACTCTACAAATGAGGGAAATCATTTGGTATTTGTCTTTTTCTGCCTGATTTATTTCACTGAGCATAATACCCTCTAGCTCCATCCATGTTGTTGCAAATGGTAGGATTTGTTTCTTTCTTATGGCTGAATAGTATTCCATTGTGTATATGTACCACCTCTTCTTTATCCATTCTTCTACTGATGGACAGTTAGGCTACTTCCATAAGAATTTGATTGTATTTAATTTGTAGTTTAGTAAAGGGAGAAGTGATTACTTTATAATACTGGATCTTTTCATTCCGGGAATATAATACCTCTACATTTATGAGTTCCAGTAAACTTTTATTGTTTCTTCACTAATATGTTACACATTTGTTTATTCCTCAATATATTATTTCTTTTTGTTGCTATTATAACTGAGATTGTCTCCCAGCTATTATGGTATAAAGGAAAGGATTGATTTTTATGTATTTAAATTGTTTTTGGCTCTCTTATGGATGTAAACTGCTATTAGGACTGTTAATTTTTAAATGTGATTCTTTTGGCTGATGGTCATTGTCTGAACTTACTGATAATTTTTCATTCCTGATACTTAAGTCTCTCTCTGTATTGTGAGACTCTATACTTAGGGTAGTTTGGGGGAATGGACTTAGATCTACTCAATGGCATTTTTTTTTTTAATATTTTGTAGGTCATAGCAAATAGTGATTCCTCCCACCACCCAAAAGAAATCCATATACCCAGGCAATATTTGTTGCTAGTTTTAAGAATACCTAGAAGATAATTTTACCAAGCAGGCTCTCTCTGCCTTTTTGCAGAAGTGTTTGCTGCTTTTAATACGAGATGTAGGGTTTGCATGTCAAACCCAGCCACTGCTTTACTGTGGAGAGCCATTTGATCATGGAATAAAGTTGACTTAACCTAGCGTTTATCCTTTGAAATTGAAATATGAGCAGAAGGAGAATTTTATGAATCAGTTAGTGCTTTCCTAAATATGTTTTCTGTAAAGCATTTGATCTTTACCCTTAACATCTATTCCTTAAGGATATGAAATCTATTTTAGATTTCAAGGTCTATTACTTGCCCTGAGCACTGAACAGATGAACCATAAATTGAATATGTGTTAACCTTTGTGGATTTGTCTCTTAATGCTATTTTTTTCTTTTTTCCCTGAATTTGTGCCTGCTCCTTAGCTACTTCTTACCTTGGTGAAACTAAAGAAAAATTATTCATGTTGCTAGTTTCCTTTTCTTTTTCCTTTTTTGGTGAAGTGATGGTTCTGTGGTGATGGTAGTAAACATTGGGTACAGAAATGGAGAATTGCTGACATATGTTATATGATTTGTAAACTAAGCCTTCTTGTTCTCTTTGCCTATAACGTGAAACTTCTTATATAGAACCTGGTCTTAAATGCTCCTGCATATTTTTCCTACCAAGTTCAGAGTGTCTCCAGCCATCATGAACATGAGTTGGTAGTGTATGATTATAGCAGTGCCACCATATGCTGTAGAGATAGATCAGGCATGTGGCACACAGGGAGCTCCAATTCTGGTGTGTTTGACATAGGGCTTGACTTGAACCAATGGAAACGAGAGACCATTTTAGATGGCTCTGTGTTGTAGGAAATGGTGTACAAGAATATAGTGATAATTGATATCTTTTATTGAGTTTTTTATTGTGGGCCAGTCATTGTAATAAATGTGTGCTACATGTAGGCATTGTAATCTCATTTTGCAGATGAGGACGTTGAGATTTTAGGTTAAATAACTGTTAATGCTGAGCTGTGAGACTCGAGAGAGAAGTTATAAAGCACAGTGGTATTTTGGCAGGAACTTGGTGGTATTTTGGCAGGAATTTTGGTGTGTGTATGTGTGTGTGTGTAGAAGCATTTAGCAATTTAAATTCCTTTAAATTCTCCTATGCAAATTTTAACAGTTGAATTAACATCAAGGTGGTGAAAAAAGTATTTCATGGGGCTTCTGGAGACCTCATTATTTGAAGGATCTTTGGAAAGCACCTTTCTCTCTTCTCTCCTGTGTGGCCTCAGTGAAAAAAACGTTAAATTTTTTCAGTTTTTTTTTTGTTTGTTTCTTGAGAGGGCCCAAAAGCTTAATTCAAGATTTGATTCAAGATGATAATGGAATGTATCATTTTTTTTAAACTGAGAGAATACAAAAAGGGGGGCTTATGGCTTGGTAGTAGGTTTGAGGGGGTGGGGTGGGTGGCTTATATTTTGAGTTCCTCAAAATCTCTTGTGGATCAGGAGAGGTCTGTCACTTTGCTTTGGTGACCTCCATCCATGTTTATTAAATATGAACGTAAGTAAGTGAAATGCTTTTATAAACCTTTTATGTGCAGTTGCACTAATGAAGATGCAAGATTCTGTGCCACATCATGTCATCATTTACCTTAGGGTATGGCTAAGCCATTGAGATTCCAAACAACATTTGTCCATAGTTGATGCTCATTTAGAGCCTGAGGCCCTGCTCTGGTTGTCCCTGAGCCAAAAACTTCAGTTCTTTGGACCTGTCTCGATGGCTGTGACTGTGGTGTCAAGTCCATTGGCTGCCATCAGGTGGGTCAGAGCAGTACACATGTACATGTACCTGTGTGGTTAGATGCTCTGGACAAAGCAGGTGAATGACAGAGGTTCTACTGTCTGCCGGCCTCTCTGCTCTGCAGGCCAGCCAGAACTGGATGGATTCCTGGCACGATTCAGAAAAGAAAGTAGAGCTTTCTAAATACTGGCAGGGAAGTCAGCTTGCTTTCCACATTTGGAGTAGCAGCCCAGAGCCCAGCCCCAGCACGGACAGCGTGCATTGTATCGTAAGCCTTTAGTCTGTTCTTTGTATCTGATAAATGTCCCAGATAAAATATGCCAGTGATGGGTGACTTTTTTCTTTTTTTATCAGAATGGCATACCTAACTTGTAGAATTATAGTATCATTTCAAGGTTACTTTTAGACTAGCCTTTCCTAACCTTTATGATAATAAAGAAAAGGAACTAATGTAAATCTTGCTGTTTTATGAGAATACTTTTGTCGCTGCTTATTCAAATATGAAATAATTCTAGACTTTTAACTGATATTTGCATAGCCTAATATGTGTGCAAGTATACTTATTTTATAAAACAATTTGAAATTAGACATTCAGCAGCCTTACAGTTTAGTAACTTAAAGCTTTATGTTGTGCAGGATTCTATGATGGAGCAACTAATTTTTCTTGTGTGTATGATTCAGTGTGTAATTCTGAAATTATTAGAGATGATACATGGGTATATTCTTTGATTTGGACATGCTGTCTCTGAGTATGACTGTGCTGCTGTGTTTCTGGCTGTGTGGCACAGTTCATTGTGGCAGTGTGTTAACTACGGACCCCATCCTGGGGCCCCGGCCACTGAGCCACCGAGCTAGAAACTCAGTTCTTGGATTTGTGTGTGCTGGTTTACACACACAAGGAGGGGGAGGGGCTTAGGTTCAGGTTTTGCCCTTTCTATGGCATAAAAGCCAACAAAATAAATATTTTGTAAGAAATGCCAAATGGTTGAGATGATTTTCTGTGATTTTCTTGCTGGGAACTTGATATTGTACTAGTACTTCTGGAGAAGAAAGTAAACATGTTTCATTTGAGATCTGTCTTACATTTGTGTGACTTGTTTAACTAACTAACATTATTGATATTTTTCTCAAGTTCAGGTTAATTGCTGGTAGGATTTTACAAGTAAGCTGTATTTGTTTTACCTTACAATTCAAAAGAAAATTTCATGAACTTTAACACTTGGTTGGTAATTTATTGTCAGACTTTATTTCTAGGAGATAGGTCAGTAGTTTCATGTTGTATTTTACTTAATAAGTGTCAAATTAATGGAGATAGTATTCAGTTGTATGAGAACATTTCTCTGTCTTCCCTTCTGAGCTTTCCTTTTTACAGTGTGGGAAATAAATGACATTGAATTTTCCCCTTTTTCTTTTAAAGACTTTCAGCTGAACTCTCATCTATCAACACTGGCAAATATTCATAAGATCTACCACACCCTTAATAAGCTAGTAAGTCAATCTTTTAAAGACAAACCTACCAACTGTTTAAAGTAGTTCTTTTAAGTGTATCTGATAAAAATTTAGATTGCAGATACTAAGATACCCCGTGTTTATGAAAATACTGAATTTTAAAACTTGCTGTATGGTATGTAATTTCTTCGTAATAATGAACATATTTCTTGCAGAACCTAACAGAAGACGTTGGCCAAGACGATCACCCGACAGGTATCTGTAAATGCTTACACTACTTAATTTTAAGTAAGGTCCTCATATAAAGTTATGAAGGAGAACACTAGCTGAGAATGCTCTGTGTTGTAATATACTCCATTAACAAGTTGTTACTTGGAGGAGGGTATTTTCAGGGTGTATGAAGGAAGGCAGCCATGTTACAGCTCTCTCCCAGTAAGAAATCTGTTCCTGGGCCTTGGTTTATGACAGTACTGCAGTCTCTTGAAAGAGGCTGAGGATTCTCCCTAGTGGTTTCAAGATACTGTATTTTAGTTCATACTAAAAGTTACTATAGTAAAGCAATTTGAAAGTTATTTCATAAATGTGTGCTAAATTGAGATGAAAAACAATTTAGTAAGTAGATAAGTGAGTGTGTGTGTACTGTATAGATCTTGGGGATTTATGAATGGGAAAATTGAAACTTGATTATTGCGGTTCTCAAACTTTAGCTTGTATTATAATCACCCAGGGAGGGCTTGTTAAAACAGATTGCTAGGCTCCTCCCCCAGGGTTTCTGATGCTAAGATTTGAGGTTTGCATTTCTAATAAACTCCCTTATGGTGTTGATGCAGCTGCTCTGGAGACCACACTTTCAGAATCACTTCTCTAAACTATTGATAATCATAAAATACAGAAACTTGCACTTCATCTATAGTTACTAAAACTTGCAGCAAAAATTATTAAAGTATGTATTACTTTTTTTGAAAATTACCACAGTAATATATGAATACATGCTTGTTGGGAGATTTTTGAATAGTACAAAAGTAAATGAAGTAAAAAGTGACAGTCCTCCTTCATGTTTCCTAGTCTGGCCTTCCCGCAGCACGCCATTTAATCTTTGTTCCCTCACACATATTTAGGCATGCCTATATTTTTATAGTATGGTTTTTTATTTAGCATCTATGAGATAATACTATACTGTACATACACGTAGGTACATACTATACCGCATCTTTCTTTTTTCATTTAATGGTGTATCTTGGAGGTTGTTGGTGTTTAGAACTCTCCCCATTCTTTTCTCCAAATTGGTTCAGAATCAATTGAAAATTAGGAACAAGATGGAGGTTGAAGTGACAATTGTGATGGAAAACACAGCTTAAATGTGTAGCCAGAATATAGAGGCTTTTCAGTGTTCCACCTGAATTAGATAGTCTTCCACCCAGTCCCTGCCACAACTAGGTAAGCACAGGCTGACACCGGCGCTGTGCCCCAGCCTCCCCTTAGGATAGCCGAGGGTCTGAGCTGCTGACATCTATAAAGCACTTACATATTCTAATTAAATGTCTACACAATTTTCTAGTTCATGGATATGTCATAATATATTGTCCAGCCTCCTACTGACATACATTTAGGTGTAATTAAATTTTAGCTAGTACCAGTAATGTTGAAATAAAATTTTCAGGGCCAATTTTAATAAGAAAGCAAGCTAATTATTCTCCTATTTTGGACCAATGTCTTGGTGGGCTTTAGGATTTTTTAGCTTAAGAGTTAGTGTAGTTTTGATTTTTAAAACTGAATTTTGTGTTTGTAAAGCCTTTAGGTTGTCTCTCCCTTAGCTGAGGCTCTAAGTTCTGAATATTGTACCTTATGCAGTTAACTTTGAACTTGAGATTTAAATGAATATTATTACTATAGTAATTTCACATCTAAACATTTAATCCTGCATGTGGCAGTTTAATAACCTTAAGCTGTAATTAAGGAAAACAAAAGTGGAAAGTGTATTTGGCCTTGTGCCTCCTCTTTTACCCGTGGGGACAGTGGGTCTGTCTGACGCTGGGTGTGTAACAGGCTGGGGCAGGGCCCGCTGCCTGAAAGGTGCCAGTGAGTGCCAGCTGCGTTAATGTTCTCAGAACAGTCCAGTCCATTCCATTAGCATTGCCTGTTTGGTTGTGGCATGACTTGGGATTATCAGACTTGACAGATTATACTTTAAAAATTAACATAAAATCTGTAACATTTGGAAATATGAGAAAGTTAATCACTATAGTGCTTCTTGGAATCTTTGACCCAACAGTAGTGGGAGCTGTGTCTGTTAACAAACTGTGTACAGAAAGGCCAAACCTGAGTGCAGAAGAGGCCAGCATCTTCCTGTTCTGGGTCCTCTAATAGTTGTTTTGGTGCCTCAGTCTTCCTTTCACACACACAGAAAGAGAGAGATTGTTAATATTGGAGAAGTAGACCAAAATAGAGAATACATGGAGTGAGTATTAAAAAAACCAAACAGAGAGGATAAAAACAACTGAGTGGAGAAGAAGATTATAGATGTTGTCAGTCAGTGTTATTTAGAGAAAGGAAAGGAAACTGTTATGGTCTTAAACATAGTAGGATGCATTTAGACACTAACAGTTTCGCTCAGGAAAGCAAGTAGTTCAATGATCTGTTCAAGAAAATGAAATGAAATACTAGGTACTGGTAAGATGTCTTAAAATGCAATCTATATATCAACTTAAATTACTGTGTCTTTGTGACATTGCTCAGTGAAAAGTGAGGTGAAACAGCTATATAAAAAGTTGAAGTGGCAGATGAACCATGTAAAATGTTACTAAGTTAAAACAAGGTTATAGTACAACAAAGTCAGTAAAATGAAAAATTAGTGAGATTCTTTTGTATTGGAACATGCATTTAAACTAAGTTCAGAAAAGTCAGAAATTCTCTATAGCTCTCCTGTTTGGGGATGATTAGAAACTGGGCACACAATCTAATGTGTCCTACTGGAAGTGAATCCTGAACAGGACTTCTTTTTCTTGAGTCCCACAAGGAAAAAGATTATAAAACAAACAGTGAAGCACATACTTACATACCACTCATTAAGAATAACATGCTTAGTTATCATCAAAACAACAATATGGAGAGACACTAAAAGGCCTGTGGTCTTATCTAGATGAACTCAAGTTAACTCTTTAAAATGGATTTTCTGGGACCAAATATTAGAATGAGTATGTTGGAAAATGATGGCAGTGGTTCTAATTGTTTGATATAGAAAGAATGACTGTATTTATTGACTACCTGAGTTATTTGAAAATACAGTCAGTTAATAGAATATGCCATTTGTTCTCTTTAAACACTGAACCAAAAAGAAATGAACCTGAACTCAAATCATAACCTTTGGAACAGACACTTCTCCAAAGAAGAAATTCAAATGGCCAACAGGCACATGAAAAGATGCTCCACATCGCTAGTCATCAGAGAAATGCAAATTAAGACCACAATGAGATATCACCTCACACCAGTTAGGATGGCCAACATAGAAAAGACTAGGAACAACAAATGCTGGTGAGGATGCAGAGAAAGGGGAACCCTCCTACACTGCTGGTGGGAATGTAAACTAGTTCAGCC